AACACTTGGTTTCTGCCGTTGTGCTTACAATTATTACCGTTTTATGGGAAAGTATAGTTCATTTCTATCTGATTACAATACTTGACAATAGATAAGAAAAGTAAATACACTTGTGACTTCTGAATGTTTGGTTCCCGTTTGACAGTTCATATTGGCTCCCAGTTACAAGCATATTGAATGAGTCCACAGTAGCCAGTTCTTGACTATAGTTTAAAGATTTATTGCATTGTTAATTGAACAAGACATCTCAGCACTGTAAAGTTCATTCAATTGTGCCTAATAAAATAAAGTAATTAATAAAAAAAACACATATTTTACAATCCATCAACAGGGGTTTCAACTTAGATAAACATTAATGTTTAGATTACTTGCTTCCATTAATATTAAAAGTGATTTGGGTTCTGTGTAAAATAAACTCTTTCTAAGTGTGTAGATTTAGAGGTTTCAACATTGTATACTACTGGTTCCCTCCATTGAAAATAATTTTGAAAGATTTCTTTGCCTATCTCCTAGATTACCTTTCATTTTTCGTAATGTGTTTTGCACAGTCGAAATCCCGGCAACCAAATTTAACCAAGATCTCAATAAAAGTGACGTTTGGTCGTTGAGTCAGCAAGTAATTGTGTAGTGATTTTACTTGTACAGTGCAAATCTCTGTTAAACAAATGCCACGATGTGGAACAAATTTAGATAAAGCTGGAATAAGGGCGTAACAGCCTTTGTAAACAATGACTTCTATCGATGATTTCTAGCAATTCAAGGTACGCCTAAGGCCTGTATCTTTCCACCGGACGAATCTCTGGTGAATTTGGGGGATTGGCGGTTTTTGGTACAAAAACAACGTTATTGTCTCTGTACCAATCCAACGTCGATCGCGCGTAATGGCATGATGCCAGGTCCGGCCAAAATAATGTCTCGTCTCCGTGGGACCACAGGAAGGGCAACAGACGCTTCTGGAGGCACTCGGTGCGGTAAATTTTCGCTGTTGATGGTACCCATTGTGATGTCTGGTTTACTCAGTTTACCGCATTGGCATATGGGCCTGCCAGAGCAAGTATTTTTTGGCGAATTTGTCCACTTTCTTCTTCCTTATGTCTTCCGGAACATCAAACCGTGATTTGGCAACGTAGAACTCCAGCCCAGGTATCTGCTTTGCGTCTGCCTTGATGTAGGTCTCGTCATCCATAACCATACACATCGGTTTCGTTAACCACTCTCGATACAGCTTCCTTGCGCGGGATTTGGCCGCCGTGTTTTGTTGATCACGCCGGTTCGGTGCCTTCCGGACCTTGAATACACGAAGCCCAGCTCGTTTCATGGTTTGCTGAACGAACCAGGCGGAACACTTTGCCTTCAGAGCCGCGTCGCGAATCGAAAGGTTCGGATTACGCTTGAAATAATCCAACACCTTTCGGGCCTTCACAGGGTCAGCTGTCTTCGATTTTCTTCCACTTCCAGCTCGCCGCTCGGTCGTCTGGGACTCCTTAAACGATTTTACCACCCGAGACACAGTTGTATGGGTGATTTCCAGTTGTATTCCGATCCATCTCATGGTCGCAGTCGGATTTTCCATGACGGCGCGCAAAATTCTCCAGCGATTTTCTTCTTGTTTCGATGACATCTCAATAACCACTGAACCGATTGTTATGAAATTTTGTACATGTACATTGTACATTCACTCCAAACTAGTTACATCCAGATTTTCATCAATTTTTACCCACGGATAAAAAGTTACACACGGATAAAAATGGTGCATTTTTTTCGAGTATAAGCAACATATTCATCGAGTAGGTGATGTCTATTAGCCAAGGAGAGCCATAGGTTTCAATAAAACATCGAGAGAAGGCATTGTTTACAAAAGCTGTTTTGCCTTTATTCCAGCTCTATCAAGGATGTTTTTTAGAGTATGGAGAAAACATGATCATCAACTTTCAAAACGATACCCCCTACCGGATTCAATGTTTGGAAGTAGCTAATGACAATGCAGAACGAGTCATAGCAGAAAAAAATATACAATTCAAAATTATCAAGAGATAAAGATCAAAAATAATGTATCTTACAGTTAGTTGAAGAACATCGAACAAAATTAAAGAGTCCCAAGATATCTGATTTAGTGTAGGTAATAGAAAAATATATGTCAGTGTATCAAACAAATGAAATATTTTTGGGCCTATTGAAATTGAAATAAATTAATTCTTCTCAGGCAACTACTGTAAATTCTTCAGAAATTATTTATTAGCGGCGCCGGTGGTGTAGCGGTAAGCATGATTACCTCGCACCCCAGCAGGCCTGGGTTCAATCCCAGTCGGCGCCGCCGGGATGTTCTGAGGCATAACATCTCTGATCACGTCTTCTTTCGGAAGGGAAGTAAAGCCGTTGGTCCCCGGTTCATGAGTTGATGGGTCGATAGGTAGGGTCCAGGTGTGGGAGCTGCCTCCCTGGCGTCGGTAGCATTGGTGCTCAGCACGGAAAACAAATCAAGGAAAAAAATATTCATTGCCTTGCTCTATCTTTAAAAGGGACCATTTTCAAGAACTTTCACGAAAATATCTCTATCATTAAATATTTTCCATACGACGAAAATTCAAACCATTAGCTTTCGAAACAAAATCAATAAAACCTGCCAAGATACTGTAGATATTAGAATTAAAATCTCATACTACGATTGAAAAATAGTAAATTTGTCGGAATTAATTTCAAATATATTTGTTAAAATGTGATTTTTTGGACCATCCTAATGAAAAATATGTGAACCACCTTAGAAGAGCATCACGCAGCGCTGCCATTTATACAGATTTATCTGTATTATACAGATTTTTTAATCTTAATACAGACCCGATACAGAATACAGATTTATCACAGATTTTTAAATTACAATACAGATTTATACAGATTTTTATAGAATGCTTGAGAAAAAAAAATCTATATCAAAATAAGTTATCAAGCAGTTCTCACTAATATCAATATATGTTATAATTTTGATATTCTTCGCATATCTTTTAGCTCTCATTTTTGTTCTGTTAGCCATCAACTCCATCAAAATGAAATCAATTTGAGTTATCAGGAATAATGAAAACAACATAATTCTTGTTTTCATTTTGTTCTCACCCTCTGCTCGGGAACCTATCAAATTTCCATCGACAATTAATCATGTTATGGTGTTTTTGACAGCATTCACAACCAGAGGAACAACCGCTTTCGGATGCATATGGAGCTGGTAGTAAACGATTTGAGATTGTATGGGGATTTGCAGTATTAATTGAATATTTCCAATATAAGCATGTATGTTAAATACAAGAAAAGTGCCCGAGCACATTAAAATGGTACAAATACAAGTACTCGTAAACATTTTACTTGCATTGAAAATGTATTTCGTAAGAAATTGCGGATTTTCTGATATTCTCCATACTGCAAAAATGATTTGACCAGCACTGGCGGGGCGACATCTCTCGACTTTTCGGTGTAACTACCACACAAATGATGTAATTAATTGTATACATCTATATTAAAAATATCAAATAGTAATGAGCTCGTGCACTTTTTTGCATTTAAAACTGCTTATCAGGAAGATAATGAATAGAAACTAAAATCTCCATACATTTTCAAACGGCTTCATATCACTCTTATAAATAAGTACGGACGATATCACAAATGGCGCAATTATATCCCGTATGGTTAGTACGATAGCCCGAATAGGTGGTTAAGCACTTTTTATGGTTATTTTGTATGCACTGTATTTGTAAAACAACAAAACATGATTAATTAAGAAAAAAATCGTCAATACAGAAAATACAGATTTTTTAATAGAGTGGATACATATTTTTTATAAAACCACCTGGCAGCTCTGATCACGTATCAGATGCCAATTGGTGGTTTGAATCGATATACAAGTAGCTTGGAGATGATTGTGAATAGTTTTAGAAGCCAATTCATCAATATTCATAGCAATTCAATTTGGTGTTATTCAAATGGAAGTGTTATTTATATAATAGTGGGTGTTCCATAATTGCATAATTACCTTGACATTAGAGGTAAAACACACAAAAATCTCCCAATATCATTCTAATAGCAATGCAATGCCGAATTGAATGAACACAGGTATACTGTTGGTATCCAAACAAAAAATTTTGTTAAATATTTACAAAGTATTTTGCATGCTATTTTACCTCTCCTGTCAAGCAGATCGAGCTATTCATAAGTTATTTTCTTCTGCTCGGGTGTGGGGGGACTATAGTCTAGAAAAATAATATCAGTCACTCCAACATAAAATTGCTTCAATATTAACGACAGAATTATTAAAATCCTAAACATCATCGTAGGCGTAGGCGCCAGCAGTAGTGGTATTTTAATTACGGCTGTCTTTGGCAACGGTCAAAATCTCAAAGGGAAATTGAAATGAAAATTAGTGACGGCACAAAAGCTTCGAAAATCAAAGCTTGTTCGTCCATTTTCACCATCTGGGGCAGTTGGTTGTCCGGTCTGCCTCCTCTATTGCAGCAAGGGATTAGCGTATACTAGGCAGAAAATCTGTTCATCAAATTCTACTCGACAGGTGTGTTCATCGATCGGTGTGATTGCTCCGGACAGCACAGCCGAGTGTGTGAATGGACTGTCGAAATTCGTAGAAAAAAAAAGCAGACATACATAGCAGATGGGATCCTACAACGTGGTTGTTGTTGTTGGGAGCTAATGAATGCGACAAAAAATATCCACCATTGAGGGCGTGTTATTTTTAAGTCCCATTATTCCGATATTAGTTCCCGCCAGTTTGACTTGCATCGGCGATTATTTCATCATACCACACCGAGCACAGCGGTGACGATGAGAATGTGCTCGTGGGAATTGGCATGCATTCTCGACGAAGTTTGCTTGGATTTTCGATTGGATCTGATTTTCGCGTGTGGGTGTGGAATTAAAATGCAATCGATGGGTTTGGAATGGCAATCTTTGGCAGCAACTGTAGCAGAAAGAGAGTAGAATTAATGCTATCCGGTACTTACCAATTGTCCAGATAATCTTGGGATTCGTTCCGAACGCTAAGCAGTGCAGGGAAAGTTTCTCGCCTTCCACCATGTTTGTTTTTCCTATTTCTGTGCTTTCAAATTTAACAATAACATTTGCTGTGAGTCGAAGTGGGATGAGAAGAAAAAATATTCAGTTAGTCTAACGATAATTGAGTTGGTTACCTGAAAGCAGCGAGGCAGTGTATGGAATGTACCTAAATAAACAATTATAAACGGCTAGTACTCACCTACTACATTAAAAGTTCTAGACGCATTCAGCGCTCGCACGTTACACGTGTATGATCCGGAATCGGAATCCAGCGCTCTGCTGATGATGAATTTGCGTTCATCCTTGATTATTTTGTAGCGATTCTGTAGCGATTCGATTTCGCTAACATTTTCACCGTCTTTTGTCCTGAAACAGACAGAGGGAGAAAGAAACAGAAGGTCGGTGAAAATTACGGGAGCAAGAATAAAGTAAAACTTTTTGTAATAGCCAGTGAAAAAGGCAACCAACTCGGTTGCTCGTTTGACCTGACAAGAGCTGGAAACTTGGGTGTGGGTGGAGTAGAACAAAGGATAAATCAAGCTGCTGAGTTTCTAAATTTAGAGCCCACAAGGCTCTCCGTTTTTGGGTCGATGATGGAGGCTTGTGGGTGACCAAAGTACGGTAACCGGTATGTGTGCTCTATTTCCCGTTATCCATCCTCAAAAGGATGGACATTTTAAGGTTTTACATACACAATTGGGACCGTTTTCTCGTTGTCAGTGCGAAGAACCCATGGCAGATCTAGAGCATTCCGCATTTGAAAATGTATACAAGCTGTTGCTTAAATGTGGACGCCAATAATTATAAACCGGTAGAGTTTTGTTTGGTTTTCCAGGGAGCTGTAACGATGGGGTGACAAAGTAGCCCCATGCTAATGAGATGCTAATTTTTCAAAGATGGTGAAAATTGTTCAAACGAATACCCACCCATCGTTGTCGTGTTCGTCGTCAGCGCCGGTTGACACATCAATGTGATTGAATAGGTGCACAAGGGAGAATTCGCGTGCATTTGACTCATTCGTTTGAAATGCTAATTAATTGTTAGCCAGAAGAAATCGGGGTGAGGTGGACATCATATGCACGAAGTGATTTACAACCACTTACGCATTGGAGCACTATTCAAGCGAAGTCTGATTGAACATGAAATGTTTTAGGAAAATTTTACGGAAAAGTGATCCGTTCACATCGGTTTCCCACAATAGAAAAGTGCTGTGCACTACACACTTAGTAATACCTAATCTTATACGTGACGGAATCCATCTTTAACATTTAGGATAAGACCTAAACTAACATATCATGTAAAATTAGGTGCTCCTAGACTGAAAAGTTCAAAAGTACGTTTGCTTGAGCTGAATTTTGCGTCTATGATGACTCAATTTTATGTCAAAATTGACGTTCGTATATGTTAGTCTCTTTAAGCGGCGCCGGTGGTGTAGTGGTAAGCGTGATTCCCTCTCACTCCAGCAGGCCAGGATTCAATCTCAGTTGGCGCCGCCGGGATGTTCTAAGGCATAACTTCTCTGATCATGCCTTCCTTCGGAAGGGAATTAAAGCCGTTGGTCCCCGGTCTATGAGTTAATGGGTTGATATGTAGGGTCCAGGTGTAGGAGCTGCGTCACTGGTGTCGGTACCATTGGTGCTCAGCACGAAAAACAAATCAAGGAAAAAAAAACATGTCAGTCTCAGAGCACCTAAATTTACATAAATTTTTCTAAGTGTGTAGGTTTCCACATATTAACATATTAATCATGGCAACTTACAAAACAAAAGCATCGCAAACATATTCAACATTGTATATAACTTGCATGCATGCATGTTTAGGCTCTTTAGGAGTATTTATGTAATTGCAAATTTGGAACCGAAATCCAACATCCCATCAATTTCGGTGAACTGAAACAATTTCCCAAATAGCACATATTGTCACATAAAAGTTGCTGCCACTATTTGGTGACCAAATCATATGTAGTAAAATCATAACTGCAACCAGTAGGGCAACAGCAATACAGCAAAAAAAAAAACACAAGATGTTAGTTGATATGTAACCAAATCAATGTTACAAAACTAGTTACACAGCATTGACTAAATAACAATATTGAGCTACATACAATCATACACAAGTTTACTTGTTACGTTGATTAACGTTAGTTTTATTTTGGCGACGAAGTTTTACAAAGTACTTTTATAGCAATAAAATTTTTAGGCATTGATAAAATAATAATAATCGCAAGAGATATTTGTAACGAAAACAAGTATCAGAAGAAATAAGCAGCGTCATATTTACGGTAAAGCCCTGTACTTTGAACAGAGAGCATATAGGTTATCGTTGTGCCAGGTTGGTCGTGGAACATTTCAAGTATGAGAGGGTGATTGCAGTTTGCTCCAAAGTGACCCCCCCCCCCCCCAAAGGGGGAGTTTGGTAAAGAGAGATGAAAAAAACCTATTTGTACCTTCCTTAAAAAGTTGTCCTAGCTCGCTATCTACTATCTATATGCAATTTTCACACTGCAGTACTCTAACGGAACTATCCACTCTATACTTTCATCTCTTCCATCTATCGTATAAAAATTACCACTTTAGTCTGTTATTTGAAATTAGCATCTTCAACTATGTATTTTAGAGCTTTATTTCTATATATTATTTGGTGTTTCCTAGCAGATAATCATATTGGTGTTCGCTGATTCAAATTATAAATTGGCATTGGACTATGGACATTGAGCTGTCCATAGTTGGGTGTTGTTTAACTTGTGGGACTTACACAACATTTTATTCCATAGTAACCACCATATAATCACAAAATAACTTTGAATGTAGGTTCAGAGTGAGACAATGCCACTGAGGTACGATATGGTTAATTGGGTATTCAGATGAAACTATTACTTTAAAAAACTAAACCTGGTTGTATTTCTTTTTCGTTTGCATGTAACACTATTTGATATTACTAACCATATCAAATTAATGATGCATCGAGTTTCGGGTGGTGAGCGGTACCATAGAGCCCCTTCTCGAAACGAGTGTATTGTTAATGGACCTGGTCTACGATTCAAGGTTAACTTCTGTGATGATTGGTTTCACATAAAATGTAAAATAGGTTGCATCATATTAATCGAAATGTAAGTATTATTGACAATAATCATAACTAGATCAAATGCTAATTTATAAGACAGGGAACAGGATCAACGATATTTAAGCAGGCGCATTCAATCTCGTTAACTTCTAATTCTGCATGTCAACACCTTTGGCTCTGCTTTCTCTTATCTTTCACCTATGTATCTACGCTTCTATGTGAAGAGTCAACTTACGCCTCATTTATTTTCGTCAAATTTCAATCGACTCGCATATTTTTATAGACGTTATGCTTCTGATTATGTGATTATTACATTACATAAAAAAATCGGGATGAGGAGGGACCATCAGGGATCCAATTGAAACGGTTTGTATGAGGAAAGTGAAGATGTCAACTCCCTGCTGCTATCATTTCGTGGATAAAGGGCGGGCTCTTCTCTCAATTCATTGGGACATCTTCTCTTTGGATAACTCGTTTTCTGACCAATTGACTGATCGAATTGTGGGAAGGAGATTCTTAACTGTCCCAAGGAAATGAATAGGCGATTTGCTTATCAATCCAACCACTCGTTTCTGGACCTTCATGCAGCGATTTGCTGATGACAATCAGAGGTTATTAAGCTTGATCAAGTTCAACAGTGTGGAGAGTCCACAGCTATCGGATTAGTTTCCAGCTACAATGAGTGGTAGACCACTATCATCGTCATCATCATCATCATCACCATCATCATCATCATCATCATCATCATCATCAGCATCAGTATTATATTTACGGTAAAGTTAGGAGCAGTGCTGATAAAAATCATTGCTTCTACACTCAACTTAGCTGAAAATGAAGATAACCTTGACAGATAGACCAACTACACAGGAAAAAAAGAGTTCCCATATTCGTGAACCACAGCCGTGAACCATAGTTCACGGTGTATATTTGAGAAAATTTTGTTCTGGATAGCTGGCCGTGATTTTTAGTTCACGGTCCGTTCCCGTTTTCGGGAACGGATTTTTTTCCGAGTACTTGCATGAATCTGAATTTTGACATAACAACATCATCTTGATCGAGGCAACCTCTGAGTATCGTAGTCAACATTTGTTTCTCTTCATTCGTGGCTGGATGTTCATTATCGCCTCCGTTGTTGTCAATATTAATATTCGTCTTCATCTTGGTGCACACTAATCGAGTCAGTACGGTTTTACCGAGTATTTGAATTGCGGAACTGTTCGGTAAAAGTTTAAAAATCTGTGGAAAATTTTTTAATGAGAAAATTTGTTCTGAACTTGTACATACTTAGTTCTGTTAACCTCATTTATTGATAGAAAATAAAATTGATCGATTTCATTGATTCCTTGCGGATAACGGACTTTTTCAGCAATTCAAAAACCCAGTAAAAAAAATACTGACTCCTGTAAAAAAATCTTAGTGTGGGGATGATTTTGAAGATGGAATGTAAAAAAGATTATTTAATTTTACACAAATATAGCGCTGCAGGACGTGTCGTGTTAGTTTTTAATGGAAAATTATTGCTTCATGCTGCATTAATAAGAAAATTCCGGTTTTAGGCTCTGGAGTCGACAATATTCAAAATAATCATTTTGCCCAAAATGAATTTGATTATTTTGCTTTTTGAAGATCATTTCTGATTTTCTCAATTTTGGGTTGGATAATCAAGCACTGGAGAATATCAACAAACGCGTATTCGTTGATGTATAATGAGCTCATTTGTTCATTTCCCTGGTACGTAACAGCGAAGATTTTCAAAACAAACGCAATTCATCTACACTGGGATGAAGCGCTACTCTTTGCGTGTGATGGTAAATGTTAAAAACAGGCACTGGTTAGGAGTTTTAGAATCATAAAACTAATGCGCCATCTCATTATTTAATTAAATGATTAACGTACGGGTGTATGGTTCCTTAGTGCAAATAGTTTTAAGGGGAGATAGAAGATCATATTTGTTAAAAAAAATATTGGTATACGCATGTGATCAAATCTCAAAGATTACTGAGTTATTGAACTTTTTTCTGTTTTGGTCTATGCCATAAATTGGCTCCATCTCCAAAAATATGCTACTTCACACAAAATTACCGCCTCCATTTAACAGCTTAGAAAATGTCTTACTTAATAGTGTCCTTTTTATTTCACATAAGCAGCATTTAGTTACATTCTATAGATAAACTTGTCTAAAATTGGGGGTTTTCAACAAAAACATTTTCGACCATTGTCTATTTTTAAGGTAACATATTTGCTGGTTTAATCTTTATTGTATATTGCAAAATCATCTCCACCTATGGTTACCGGCAAATCCT